CAGGTTATGGGCTATGTTTTTAAAAGATTTCTCTCATTTGTTTCATGAAGAGTCACATTCCTTAAGTGGTTAATTTGGGCCACACTGTGCCTTATGTTTCAACAATAGTTCTTGCTAATATACAAGAATGTAGCTTTGTCCTGCAAAATATTGTACAATACACTCCTTTAAACAGTCTTTATCTTGCAGTTTTAGCCTTCCCCCACCCCCCTTGAAATGTAGGTGGTCACCCAAAGTAAACAGAATTCCTTCTACTCCCTCCACATCTGCTATGTGTTATCTGGCACTCACCTCTGACCCTGATATTCATCATAAGAATAAGAATTGCATCCTATTCAGCTGCTTGTGTGCACTTTAGCTCCAGTGATCACTGGCTGTTGAAACAGTATGTGCTGGGAGGAGAAATTGCTGAGACAGCATCGGGGTATTCAAACTGGACTCTCCATTTTCTTGTGCACTTCTGGATAATTAAACAGAATTCTAGAGATGAACAGGTCAGCACAGTATACTGGGGGACAGACCTTGGTATAATTTCAGATTGTACTGGCTAGTGACTGCAATGAAACAAGTTGGATACTAACTCTTAATGAGAAGGATTTTTGAATTCTGATTGCAAGCCACTGTATCAAATGACATTATCCATCTTCATAGAGAGACAATATGGAAGCAGTAAGTTTAAAAGTATGTTTCTGATGCAAACTTCTGTTCATTTAATAACACCATCCTCCATGTCCTAGTATCATTCAAAGAACTAAGTAAATTTTGGTGTGACTAAGAGTTTTAAAATCTGATCCTAAATGTGAGGATCCACATTTTAGGCAGAATACAGGTCTGGTCTCTGTGACCCCACCAAATGGAACCCCTCTGAAATTTACCTTTTTCACAAGGATGATCAGAATTACCTTTTGGACACTGTGGAGGAAGAAATAAAACTGCCAATTTCCTTGCCAAGGGTGGATCGATTAAAACTTTGGGAAATTTATCAGCCTCCCTACCCCATCCCAAATCCTTTTGATTTTCAGAAAAAAGATTTGGCAACTAACAATGTTGTGAGACCAGCGTGGTTTACCGGCTGCCACCACTGCTCTTTGGTGCTGCAAGACTGCTTACAGTCAAACAAAACCAAGACCTCCTTGTACCAACATTTTAGGCCGATCTCTGTCATCCCAGTGAAAGCTGAACCAGCATTGACACTTCTATTCAGAGGGCCATCATGTGGCTTACAAGCATCTAGTAATGCTCAGTGATACTACTGATTATCAGGATTTGAATAGATTTTTTTTCCCTTTAAATTGGTTATGCTTCTTCACTTGCCAAGTTTGTTTCCTTGAGCGTATCTCTATTTATATTTAGCAAAATTAACAAGGGATGAAATAGGTGCCGAGGATGTTAATTATGTAATTATACGAGCAAAGACATACCGTGTAATGGGCAGAGAAGAAAAATGACAGACTTCACATGAAGAAATTAAATCCCATGTTACATTTTTTATTAGGGTTCTGATTTTTACAGTGTTGCCAGTGGTCACTGGTGACCTCAAATGTAAGGGTGAAGAGTTTTATTTCTTGTTTGCATTTATTTAAGTATGCACATGTACATCTGATATGTATACACATTAGTTGGTTTTTTTATCAGCAGAGTAAAATATGGGAGGCAGGATTCTCATGCAGGAAATCATTTGTTTGAAAAAGACTGTAAAGTGAAATGAAAAGGATCGTATGAACCTTGGTGGTATCTAAGTGGTTTCAGTTTGCACATTGTTAAAAATCATGCAGTGTCCTTTGGTGCCCTTTCCATCTTGTTTATTTTAATAAAGAAGACCAGTTAGTCTGAAAGGTAGTTCTCTATCGGAATTGACTTCTGATCACTCTATCACTTCACAATTCCTTATACATCAGGAACACTTGAAAGTGAATGCACATGTTTGTGAGGATTTTTCTTTTCCTCTGGAGAGATTCAATTATTTATGCTAGAATTATTCTTATTGTGAGTTATTTTTATAATTGAATCAAAACTGTGTAGGCTGATACAGCCCCAAGTTACTGTTGTGATCTGAAAAATCCTCAAAATGGCTGAATAGAATAACTTTGTCACTTGTTTGTCATACCAGTTATGACAATGGGTCATTCCATAGATGTCTAAAATGATCTTTAGCCACGTTTTATGAAGCCAGAACTGTAATCCAATAACAATTTTCTGGCTAAGTGCTTCTCAGTTGCCACTGGGGACTATCTGCATCACTGTTGCTGCTCTTAAAATGAGTTTAAGTTAAAAGGACACAAATTTCATATTTCTTTCCTTATTTTCTTGAGAGTAATCTAAGAAAATAATATTTTAAATAATTGCATTCTGGTTCCTGAGGGACATCAGCATAATTGCATTGAGGATACCTTTATTTTTTTATGCATTTATTTATTAAGAAAGAACTACATTCCATCTGTAAACCAAGCAATTGGTCCACTGGCACAAAACAATAAAGCAATGAAACCTCTAGTTCATTAAATTGGAATATGGGGATTGAATTACTAATTTAGCTTGGTTTAAATTTCATGTTATAAATTATAGGGTTCTAAGATGTAAGGGAAAAATGTATCCCGAGATGTAGACTACCTACAGTTTCAGCCAGGAGCATTTATATAAGACTCAATGGAGATGAAAGAGGGAGAGGTATTGAAAACCAAGACTGGCTGGCGTGGTTCATCGTTGGTGGGCACATCACAGAAGGCACAACTGAAAAAAAAAACCAAACAAACCAAGAGAACACAAACCCTTATTTAAATTGAGAGTACTCTGTATGGGTTAGTTTTAAATATGGATAGTGTGAAATGCTGGTTTGTGAAACTCTGCAACATGAAGGTCAGGTAACAGAAGACGTGAACAATGAGAAACAGAGATGCTTCATAAACCTTTGGTGGTTTCATTTCATTCCTATGTTATCTCTCCCAAAACCCACTCTAGTGTTTTATTCAGTGTAATCTTTTATTCAAAACTTTGTTATGAATTTCAGTCTGCTATTAAGCTTGATCGTTTTAGCTTGATTTCTGTGTTTAGCAGTCTCTCTCTGGAGCTGCCTGTAGAAGTAAATACAAAACCTGTATAAGATAATATGTTCTCTTCAGAGTTACTATGTTGACTGGATTTCTACTATTGGGACCTAGTCCTTTGATTTAGGAGTTGAAGTATGAACTGGCTTTTATTTCAGCCTTCAAGACCTCAGGCAAGTCACTTTCTGTGAACAGTGTGTGCCTCAGTGTTATTCTTCAAAAGCTGTATTCATTTCCTTCTGGAGTAACCCAAGGTGTTTCACAAAGGCTGCCCCCAGATTTTCTGGGGAAATATTAGCTAATCTTTCCCTTCCTTACAAAAAATGGGTAATCTAAGCCACCTGTACAGTAATCTGTCGTGAATATTCAGGAACTGACAATTGATTTAATGAATTTGAGATGATGTGATGTTTCCAGCATTGCTGCAGTGGAGCCACACTTACTATGAACTTAAACTGCCTCTCTCGTTCTTCCACTCTGTGGGGTATTGTTTGGAAACCAAATAAACCCCGCAGGGTATTTGTCTCTATTCTGTACCATATCTCACTTTTTACAGGATTTTAAGGAAGTCACTACAGTAAGTAATTTAACACATCTATGAAATAGCATGTGACGTGCTTGTTTCACAGTCTTGCTCAGGTTGATGGGGCTATTTGCCTGCTAGAAGTGTAGGCTTTCTTTGCAGAAAACTTATCAGTTATTGGATTACTGATTAGCATATTTTGAGCCACCATTAATTCCAATACATAAAATTAAAAATCAAGGTTCTTCCAGGTTAAAATTTGCACTTGCTTCATGGGAGAGGTGATTTCAGTTTCTCTGTCCACAAGAAGTGGCCTGCTCTGCTCCAGCTTGGAGTCAGGTGAAGGCTATAAGCCCTCAAGCGAGTCAGCAAGCAGTGAGGCACTTTCTTGAGTACCAGCTCTCAGCTCAAAGCAAGGCCAGCTTGGATCAGGTTCCTCAGGGCTACTTCTGTCAAGTTCTGAAAATCTCCAGTGGCAGAGATTGCACAGTCTCTCTGCCATACATGTTCGTATTTTATTGTCCTAATGATTTTTTTTACTTTTAACAATATTTAATTGCAATATTCCTTGTTGCAACTTGGTGTCCATAATCTCCCATCCTGTCACCTGTGCACCTCTCAGAAGAGTCTGGTACACTCTCTCTCTCTCTCTCTCTCTCTCTCTCTCTCTGTAGTTATACTACTTACTACTTCAGACTGTGTTTGAGACCAGCTAAAGTTGTCTTTGTTTTGGTGAACCTTCTCTGTCTTGCAGAGGTTCAGAATTTTAAAGAAATAGTATTCTGCCTTTAGTAGTTGGACCTTTATTTTTAGTATTTTGTTAAACCTCATTTAAACTTGATTGAACAGGTTGAACTTCTGTGTAAGAATCAGGTTTTCTATTTCAAGGTCTGCAATGTGGGCACCCTTGGGCTCTGCAAGTTGTATAATTTGGATTTAATAATCATATTATTGAAAGCTGGTTTATGAAGGGCAGGCTTTTGCAGGTTATACTTTTGCTTCAAAAACTCATGACACTTTGAGTGCATTATCTCACTGAAACTGTGTGTATTTCCCTTGAGGCAAAGGCTGAACACCATAAACGTTGATTGTTTCCAAAGGCTTAGGGAAGCCCAGGGACCCTGAGCTCTAGTTTATGCTGATTGTCCATAATGTATTTGAAGCTTATCTTTCTATACCTCATTGACTCACAGTATATAATATGTTTGTATAATATGAAAACTGTAAATGGGAGAAAGGTGCCAATTATTGAACATGAAACAGATTTCAGGGTGCTAAGACATTAATTTTTCATTACGGATCTGTCCTTGCTGTTTCTGAGTTCTGCCAGGAGGATAATACTAGAAGATTTTATGTGTACTTGGCTGGACAAGATATTATTTAAGTAAGTTTAATTACTAACTATCTGTTTTGTTTCTGTGGGTTTCTTCTAGTGCTCTCAAATGGGAGATAATCTGATCTGAAGAGTATTTACAGCCCAGGTAAGTCACACAACTGATTATATGCAGTTTTTGGACAGTGTTTATTGATGTGAAACTGACAATCTGCAGATCAGCAGAGCAAGGTCTGGTGCTCTCGAACTGCTGGGAATGTGAGAAATACAAAGTTGGAGAATACAGCACGTAACTGTGAGTCATTCTAATGTTGACAGACCACTTGCAAGACATGAAACCATATCAGAGAAATGAGTCCTTTTTTCCATATCAGCTCTCTCCTGAATCTCTTCATTGAAACACAAACTTCCAGGTCTTTAAGTCATCCTCACATGCCAGATGGAGTTCAAGCAGTTGTTTCCTTAGCTACAGTTTTGTGTATGAATTCCCTTCTCTCTTCTGTGGACATGTACACTCCTACAATCTCCAGTCAGTTGTCTCCTGCCATAGAGAAGTGTAAAAGATGTTTTCTTCCCCTGCCGTGAGAACAAACAAGGGGGTGGATTTATTCTGTTATTTGAATGGGGTTGTTCTCTAACCTGGGAATAATGAGGCAAATTGCTTGAAAAGTAAAGGAAAGAGCTTGCATTTCTCTTTATTGTGTAATAGAAGCTATTTCTCTGAAATATGTTACTGAATTATGTACTTCATAGGTGTGTCTGTGAAGAGATAAGTAGCTGATCATATTGTACGTTTGACTTTAAATGAAACAACAGAAGTGAGTTGATAGATAAATATTGCCTGAGAGTTTTCCCTGTCACTAATTCTTGACAACAGCATATTATCAGATTAGGAGTATTTTAACATCAGAGTAAATTATTGAAAATTCATACTGGACTCTGTGCTCCAAGGAGCTTCCAGTAACCTCAGTCAGATGCAGCCCACCTGGGAGGACCCTGTTGCTTAGCTGCTCGTAATTATGTGTATTAATCCCCTCATGAGTGTCACATGCAAACCACAGCTCCCATTTTCTTTTCCCTTTCCTCACATCATCCTTCTTGTCTGACCAATTTCTGACTTTGTCCATTGCTGCTTTGAAGTGGGTTTGCTCTTTTCAGCTCCAGCACAGGCATTTCTGCATATACAGCTCCTAGCTGTGTTCCATGGGCCTATATTCCTGATGCCTGTGAGGACCACACAAAGCATTACTGTCTGTAGCACAAACTATATGAGAATACATCTGGAAAAGGGAAATATCAGCTACCTGGTACCAAGGAACCCACTGTGGATGAAGAACTATTGTAAGGAATTGTGGCAAGAGGACAAAAAATCTGTCCATTTTAAGTTGCCTTTTTTTTGGTTGGTTGGTTTTTTTACTTTGCCATGACAAAGTAGGAGTTTTAAGCCTACTGCTGGGACATCAGTTACTTCTTGTCTGAGGTATAGTATTTAATATTGAATTATAGTATTGTGGACAGGTTGCGAAAGGGCTCAGTGCTGTGAATTTGGTTTTGTAGCCACGTAAGTGGACTCTCTGCTGTCCTGCATATTTTGCTTAGAGTTCTTTTGTTCTCTACCAGTCATCTATTGGTGACAGGATGGAGTTCAGTTTTCACAGAATCACAGAATGTGCTGAGTTGCAAGGCACCCATAAGGATCATTGAGTGTCAACTCTTAGCCCTGCTCAGGACCATCCCCAAGAGTCATAACGTGTTTTGACAGATGAGGTTCAGGACAGGAGACTGTTTCTCAAGTAGAAGAGATCTGTGGGCATTTGCTGTCCCTGAGGCTGCTTCTGTGCTGTCTACTCTGTCTCTGGGCCACATGTACAGTGTGAGTCCCCTAAATCTGTCGGGACTCTGGAGGAGATGCATTGCTTGTCTCTTAAACACTGTCACAGACTACATGCCGGCTATATCTGATCTGTTAGGCTTCAGACATCCATCAATTCAGTCAGGGTCCTCTTTTGATCCTCACATTGCTTTGTATGGCAGGTTTCAGGGCATCAGAATTGTTACTCAGATGACGACTTGATATCAAAATACAGGTGAAGCACGTAAATTAAGAATACTGGCAGCTAAGAACAAAAAGGGAAAGCAAAGAGAGGATATTGCAAGCATTACTTTAGAATGAGGGGAAAATTGCTTAATGGATTAAGTAGCCAACATTAGAGTAGGAAGGAGATTTAAAAAGTTTGATGTGGTGCACACAAGGACAGTTCTTAAAAACTTAGAAGAACAAGTAATTTGTGCCATAACACACCTAAACCAGATTGTTTCAGCACACCTAAAAAAGGTTGCACCTTTTTTCATGTCGGGAGTAACATTATATATTCAAGACATTTTTTTCCCTGAGAATCTTAAACATAAAACACTGTTCTGCACATTTGTTTTTTATAAAGAGTGGATTTAGAAGGGATGTGGGGCACTGGGTGTCCTTTTTTCTATGCTGATATTATGGAAGCTGCAGTTCTAGTTTTGCTCTGACCCCGTATAAACCATACCAGCATAATGTTGTTCAGCCACTCACATTTTTAAAAATGCATTTGATAGCCTCAGTGTTATAGTTGGGAAAGGCAGCCCTCTGGTTCTGTCACTTCTGTTAAATGGCACTGCTTTAGACTAACTGGCAGTAGGCTTTTTTCTACTCACCAGGATCTCCTCAGTCATCAAAGGCTCCTTCTTTGGCCACACCACAATCATTGTGACAGTTCCAGGTAAGAGTGTTTGGCAGGGATAGCTCAAGGGTCCATTCTTTAGAGAATGTTTACTTTACCTGACATATCTTTCCTGGGTGCCACAGTGATTAGTCATCTGTATATTATTTAAGGGAAGCTAAGGAATACTTTCTTCCATATAAGAAACAGCTAGGGGGGTGTATAATAAAAATAAATAAATAATTAAAACCCATCAGCACTGAAGATGATGTGCTGGGAGAGAATTAAGTTGCACAGCAAGCAAAACACTGTGTAGAACAGTGTGTGCATGTGTATTCTAGGTAGGGCAGAGAATATTGACTGTCATCAAGATTGCCTGAAAATGCTCACTTATAAATTGCTGTAAACAGGATTTTTAAAATTAATTTCTTCACAAACTGTAACCGTTTGGATTGCTAATTTCCATTTAAGGCTTCCTCTTGGGGCAAAACATTTGGAAAGACTATGATCAACATTATTTGGCTGTTTCTGGAAAGGAAGGGAATATGTGTTGCTCTGTATAAAATTTTGAGCATTTTTTTCTCCCCCTGAATTGCATCTTTCTTTTTTTATTTCATTGTATCATCAAAATCATCTGTCAAAATGGGGTTTTCTTTCCTTGAAGTACTGGTTTCTGTTGAGAGAGATGCTATTGTTGCCTTATTCCATGAGCTGAAATGATAGAGATCTATGCAGTGACTCTAAATATTGCTAGTGATGCTATTGAGCCAGAGGCTTATCACTAGGATTCCATGCTATGGCGTTCAGAGCTGGATAGCTATGAATTTTTAGAAACATGGTAATTTACAAATAAAAACTGAGATTATGAGTTGAGAGTTTAAAATCATGATGAAATCTGCTGGATAATGCAAGTACAGTATTCAATGAGCAATTCAAATATTTTGTTCAAGTATTTCAAATCCAATATTTTATGTTTTTGCTCTTTGGTTAAGTGTGTGCCTTCAGGCCCTTTTTAGTGCATGCTTTTCAAAACTTGCTCCAGAGACAGAATTATTAATTTCTTCTTAGTTTTCTGCGTAGCACTCAACACTACAGTGCTTCAGAAACCATTAATGAAGTTATTTTCACAACACTCTGGTGAAATGAGGAGAAATTATTGTCCTCATTTGACAGGTGGAGACTGGGACACAGTAAATCAAAGGACCTACTAATTTGGGAATCCAGTTTGAGGCATCCTGCTCCTATCTTTCCCAGAATATTTAAGGTTGGGTACTGAGCTGAAAGCACAGTAACTTCAGCTGTATTCCTGATGATCAGCAGTTTGAGCAAGGCAGATCCCAGGTTTCAAGCTGGGCATGGAGCACATGAGGAACATATAGTCAATGGATGACCTTGTGTGAAAAGCATGATTTTAAGAAGTTGGTCCTGTATCTCATAGACTTATGACAAAAACAGATGTAGACTGCAAACTCTTTGGGGCAACTTTTAAACTACCTTAAGTAGGAGACTTTTTTTTTCCCTTTCTTCCTGCATTCCTTACTCATTACATAAGTCTGAATGTCAGCTATGCATGGGGCAGCCCTTCTCATCCTCAGGCAGCAGCCTTCTGCCCTGCAGAAGACAATCTGCCCTGCCACAGACAAGTCCATGCCGTGCACTGCATAAAACAGTGACCTTGAGGAAAACTCAGTTTGTGATTATGTAAATGTACTGGTTTTGGTTGGTATAGAGTTAATTTTCTTCACAATAGCTAATATGGGATTAGTTGCATGATGTGTTTAACCAAATGGCAAACTCTTATCCTGTCTTTGATCACAAACACTAAAGTTTGAGGTGTATCACTGGAGAGAACTACGCAGTACTAATAAGATAGTGAGTATACTGTCATAAAATGGCTCTGCATATGTTTGCATAGGCAGATAAAGTATGAACACTGATGATTACCACTTAACTGATTTCCTCCCCTTCCCCACCTCTTGTCCCTTGTTGTATACCTAGATCCCAAACATTGTAGAGTAGGGACTACTATGTTTTGCTTGTAAAGAACTTAGTGGTCTTGATCAAGGGACCTCTGTTGTTTTGGTAGAGTCCCTCTTTGTTCACGTTATTCATGTTACCATCTGAAAAAAGTGAGTGTTTACTATGTAGACTGTCCTCTGTGGACCTCAGAGGTGGTAATCACTGACAGTTTGTTATGAGTATTGTCCACCTAGAATGCTGAAGGGAGAATTGTGATTTGTTCACTAACTTTTATTTCTCTTCAGTGACTTTAATGTGTTCTATACTTTTCAATTTACTAAAGTGCTAGTAGTTTATTAAAAAAGAACATTAAATTGACTGGTCTACCTGTATCACAGGACTGTTGTGAAGATTAATACTTAGATAATGTTTATAAAGCACTTTTTATAAGTGAGAAGTGCTATAAAGTGCTAAGTAATATTATTGCAGCATG